CGATCAATACTGCTCGATATCGAACTGTCCGAGACAGGAATAGGACTTGAAATTAAAGTTCTTACAACTGAGCTACAACAGGCTAGTTTAGTGGTAATAGAAAAAAAATTTGGAAAAAATCTATTATTTTTGTACTTTCGTCTTGTTGTAAAAATTCTCGTTTTTTTCTAGAGACGTCAACAACCCAGAGCAAAAAATAATAATAAATTAAAATTAGATAAATTATATGATATATATATAATACTTGTTGTTTGAGCAACTTTGCCTTAAGTCAAGTTGCCAAAATTTCTTATAAAATAAACTAATTATATAAAATAACATAATTATATAATTTTTTTCCCTAGAAATTAAAACAAACGTATTAATTACATAGTCGACAAATACATGCTTGTATGGTATGTCCTTAAAGCACATACCATTAATCCAAAGTTTAATTATTTTTTATAATTCAATCACTTTTGTTTTTAGACCATTAACAAAATTATTCTGTAAATGCAATTAATCAGCAGCTAAGATATGAAATTTCGGCTTTCACATATATGCACATACTTTCTCCCGATTTAGTTTCAAATACTTGAAACGCCAAAACATAAAAATAACAAGCCAGATTTTCTGGGAAAGATATAAACTTCTCTTCCGGAAAGTTAACTAAATAATATATTAAAATATGTCTAATAAAATATATGTTAATAACAATCCACTTCACAATGAAATACAATAATCTTGAAACAACTGTAACTTCAATAAAATAATTCTAAAAAATCATCATGTATTTCTTTCAATTTTACCCCGTAACTTTTACCCTTTAAACAGCTGTCTTGATCGATATTTCTAGAAATATTAAAAAATCTTCAACAATTCATAACAGTGTTTTTTGAACGATCAATATATCAACTATAGATCTTCCTTTCATCGTGAAGATTATCCTTCGTGAGCCTCTAAATAGGGGTTGTGTTCGGGTTAGGTTTAAAAGGGTTGTTAGTGAGCATATTGGTAAATAGCCTAGAGTATTTGTGCAAACATTATCGAAGTGCAGTATATTGTATTGAAATCGCAGTGCATTAGCTAATTGTGGCAACTTGGTCGGAAACTTAATAATAAACTATTGTATTGATATGATTGAAATTCTCTAAACATTTTAGGAAGAACACTTTCCTTGCGTTGCCTTGGTTTAAAAATCATTAAAAAAATAATATAAATTAAAAACAAATATATTCTGTTAGTTAATCACGCAAACGCAAAATATTCGAACAAACAATAGATTTAGCAATAAATAATTAACCCAATTACGGTTTAATCGATTATATAATGAATTAATGAGTTAGTTTAAAATCTGATTATATTTAATACCGTATTATATAATCGATATGTTTAACTTTAATATTTTCTGCCTACGTTGTCAATACAAAAACTAACCTAAGAATTTAAAATTTTCTAAAATTGCGTTTGATTATAGGGTCACGAGATTTTCTCATGAATTGACATAATCAACTCAGCAATTATTGAATTATACAATTTGTGGATGGACGAGAGTGCACGTCATGACTAAAACGCAAAAAACTATCGGTCTAATGTCATAGAGATTCAGATCGCTTTTTATCTTTAGATTTTTTACAATGAGAAAAAATTTATATATAAATTAACAACGGCAGAGCACGCGATACGACATTAGAAACATCGCTTAGTGTGAAATAGAGTATAAAATGAAACTGCTTAAGGCAGAGAGGAACTAGACACAGAATATTTTGTTTGGGGGGCATCTATTTATCACGTGATCTGTTTATACGGATTTGCAAATCTCCCCCCTTGGTGGTACGTTGATATTTAAAATTACCAACTCCACCGACCCAACACCACGTGTAAGAAAAAATCGTACAATTAGGTGAAAAATACAAGTGACATCTTACTTGACCTCCATCTGTGATATTTTATCAAACCCCTCCTTCTTTTAAACCTCACGTGATTTATAGATAGCCTCTTGTGAGTTTGAATTAGTCCCGGGTTCGATCTCGATTTAGGGCAACTTGATAACAAGCAGTATAATATTAAATATTAAATTTCCACTTCGGATTGTAGATCATAAAGACCATCTCAAAACAAGAACGCCTTTCGTGGGCATTGCTGTAACACAAACAAACACCAACAATAATTGATGCCTTCAAGAAAAATAGTTGGTTAAGATCTACTGTAGCAAACACAGAGTTTTTGGTGCAACAACTCCAACTCTAACCTTAATTACCTATATATTACCTTTCATTTACATTGTCTGATTATTACCAATCTGGCTCTGTATTCACGAGTTATTCGAAATATGTTAATAACATCAGAATTATCTACAGGACACGCACGTAACATTATTTAAGATATTGCCCATGTTTTTGTTTTGGCCGTGTTTTGTCCGTCTTTTCCAAGTGTATCTGTACCATTATCGTCCCGTCGAACTCTGTTATTAAAATTGTACTTTATTGTTGATAATGGGTCGGGACATCATTCAGGACGATGCTATAAAAATACCTCTTTGACAAGGCATAGAAGTTTTATGACTTTATAATATTCGGTAAAGCTGGAATTACACCTATATTTTTTAACAACAATCAGAGCTACGTGTTTTAATATCAGTGTTAGCTATCGTACATCCTAAACTTCTAACTTGATAATTTCCTCGAGAGGGTAACCCTACAAAATTATTTATTGAAAAATCAATCCCACTTCCTCGATCACCCAACTGTCACATTAAAAGTAAACATCGTTCCGGACATTTAAGCTCAATCCTAAAAATGACATACCTCTTATCTCAAACGCCCCCTCGATACGAAACGAGTCTATTTTAAAGACCCCAAATTAGAGTTTAAATTAAGGGTATGGTTGTCACGATTAGGTTTTTCAAAGGCAGGGGTTTGAAATTATCCGTGTAATTTAAAATTTGCCACGCCGGTCCCCCGGAAGGGTGATTCGGAAATAAAGATTATTTTGTACTTCTGATGCGTTTGTTGTGTTCGAGAAGGAATTGGATTTTAATCCAGATTATGTGTAAAATTTTGAAGTGTTTTTAATGACGCGAAAATCCGGTGAAACACATGGTGAAATGAATTTCGAAAGGTATTAGCCTGTAGTAACATGGAATTTAATTACAAATCGATTTTTTAACAGCAATTAGAACTAAAGTGTTTAATGAGCTGCTGTGTTGATGCTCCTTAACTACTTGGTATTTTAGAAGACAACACCGCATTTGGCATAAAATATTCAATATTTTTGGACTTATAATACCGATAAAATATTTCTAATTTAAAGCAGCATAAAGAAGGGCTATTTTCACTTGTATACAGATATTTTAGATCTATATGTGCAAATGAAGACAAATGTCACTAGTGCTTGATATCCATTCCTAAATAGGTATCGTCCAAAATGGGTTACGAACTTCGAAATAAAAATATGGAAATCACTTCAGTGAGTAGTTTTCTAATTAAGGATAAGACAGCGTCACGGGCCCAAATTTTTTTTTAAGTTTTCTTATAACTGATACATGGTTCCACTGAGATCCTGAATTTTTGAAATATGTACACTACTTCTGTCTTTATATTAGTTCTTTCATTCATTATATTTAGTTCCATTATGGACTAATTATAATGATTGCGTAAAATGGACTTTTGATAACAAAATCATAAACCCAATATAATTTGCCAAGAGTTTGTAGTACACAGTAAGTAACGTGTGCGCGACAACTCCAAAGTTTTTCACTTAATTTTCCTCTGTTTCACTCGTTACACGATTATATTTTAATTTGTAAATTCATTCAGGCATGTTAAATAAAACTCTTTGAAAACATTGCATTCCACAAATACATAAGTGATTTGCTTAATATCTCGACCAGAGTTCTCTCTGTATCCATGGTGTGTGTTAGTTGTCGACTATTGCATTTGACATATGTGGCTTTGTGCTTTGATCTTCTGCGGGGTAGGTTCAGTGCAAAAAAATCAACTGAACGAACAAAGACCAAAGGGTGGAACAAAAGGGCGGTCTGGGGTTGTAATTATATATTATGCCTCAAACCCGAGCGCACGCGGATAACACTCTGGGCGCGATAGGTCGGATATCATCATTTGCATCGTGATGATATGCTAATCGAAGATGAAATTGCGTATTAGGAATTGATATCGTCTAGTCCTTTGTTAGGGAAATGTTTGATACATTGAAACAAGATACTACGGGAAATACATTTATGTTATAACTCACGTAGGTATTACCCACTATTCCATCTCTAAATCAAATTATTTTGATGAAATTATTCCTCATTCGTATTTTTAACATCTTCATAGCATCTCCATGATACCAAGACATGATATTAATAATCCCAATTGTATTTGAATTTAATTTAATTTATTATTTTATTAAAATCTTGTGTACATCAATTTATTGGCTATACAATAACGGGCCATGATTCTATTACCAAAGGTAAATGGATTGAGTCTTGGTACTGTGTAAACAATTTCATATTTGAATTATGATATTAAAATTGAACTTCAATACTTAATAATGTGAAGATGATCGACTTATAATATGGAGTAGAAACTTGATCAATACTTGAAAAATATTTTCTGTTAAGAGTTATGTAAAATCGATAAATTAATAAATCACTTGAGTCCATCTAGTACCACTAGATGGATATATACAAAGTTAGTATAGAATTTAGAATAAAAACGTTGTAAATGAATAGCTTAATGTATAATTTGGCTTGAAAATATTCGCACAATTCATAAAAATACAAGAATTTTCACTTGAATGACATTTATGTTAATGTTTAAATCAACTGCTCTTTGTTAATAAATAATTTATCACTATTCAATTTTCCATCTACTAATAAAGAAAGTAAAAATTCAAATATAAATCAGTAAATTTAGTTGATAGTGCAGTTGATAGATGACACCACCCAATATGTCTTTCATAATGGTCTCAATAAATGTGCCAGTCGATTTTTGACATTTGTTAAAAAACTATAAATCAATTAATATTGTTTCAACAGCAGTTTGTGAGTGATGGATGTATTTATAGATATTTATGTGATATTCGATTTTTTTGTTGGATCAGGTATTCATTAAAATTAAACGTATAAAATTTTATTTTACTTGTTTTTATTTAAGCTGTTTTTATTTTTATATTATATTTGATAACTCGGATTAGATTCTAATCATTAGAGGCTGTAAATATTCCTAAACAATATCTTCTATAAGTTGTGAAAAATGTTCTCATGTAATATGCATATGCTGTCTGTAAATGAGATATTTTAATGATATTAACTAAATAAGAATTGAAGTTCTACCATTTTTTGCTGCGTCAGGTATTCATTAAAAATAATTTTTTGCCTCATAGACAAAAGGCAGTTTCTTTATTATTTTAATAGTAAACATTTTTTTACTTTTTGTTCATTTATGCTATTTTTATTTTTTATGGAATATTTTTCTTCGTTTAATATATTAATCTACATATAATGTCCAATGCAATTTGATAACTCGGATCAGATTCTAATCATTAGAGACTGTAAATATTCCTAAACAATATCTTCTATAAGTTGTGAAAAATGTTCTCAAGTAATATACTATCTGTAAATGAGATATTTTAATGATATTACCTGAATAAGAATTGAAGTTCTACTATTTATTCCTTCAGCAACAATAGTTTTCTTCTAGCAACAAATTACCAAAAAATACTAATACTAATAAAAATATTAATTGAAATTTAGCAATTTTCAAATTGTGACGATGCAATATTTCAAATTTTAATGAATTTTTATAATTAAACTAATTTTCACGAATATTTTAATTCAAAGATATTGATTTAAAGAATGAAAATAAAAAATAAGAAAAGTGCATTTTGTTTTGAATTTTGCCCAGTATGTTAACTAGTATATCTCAAATTTTCGAGGTCAATTAACGCAAAGTTGCAATCAATGGCTTGAATAATTTGAAGCAGCTATCCAAATTTTAAGGTCCTATTTCACCATATCTCAAGTGATTGATATATCTATGCACATTTTTTGAGTTTTGCAGTCAATACAGTAGGTACCCATCGAGTTAACTCGTGTATCTCAAATTCGTGGGGTCAATTAATGCAAAATTGTGATCAATTCGAGCGTTTATAAAGCCCATGGTATATTGGTGGCTTTGTATGCCGTGTCGTTGTGTAAATATGTGCAGTTCGGTGTGTCAAACCCCAATGTATACAGAATATGCCGAATACTGAACAGAGCCAGTCCACAGTCGGTACGCACCGATCACATGCTCCGATGCGTTCAATAACATGCATTGTTGGAACATTTCGAGCCTCTGGCCGGAGCAGTCAAGTGGCATACGATTTTGATACGATTCATATCTAATTGTAAATACGGGACGAAATGCGCATTTACAGCTAGGACACAATATACGCATACCTACTGTAGTCACTGCTTTTAAAATTTTTTATAGAAACTTATGTTGAAGTACAAATTCATTACAAATTTTAGATATGGTAAATCTATACACTATAGGCGGGCCCCGTAAAAATACTCATCAGACCAAACTGATATGTGTAGCGGGCAAATCGCTTGCTCGACACGAGTGCTCTTTCCGTCGCCTCGCATGAACACAACTGACTGTCACATTGAACATATTTTTTTATAACTCTTTTTTTTAAAAAAAAAACCGTCTGGTTGGTTTGAACTATAAAAAAATTATTTAATTAATGCATAATTAAACATAAAACTAACAAAAACTAGTGGCGTATGGCATCGTGCCTTAAGGCAAATTGCTGAAACTTCCTGTACCATAACGAAATGTTCGAGGAATATTGAGTATTGAATGAAATATTTTTTTCCTAAAGCAATTGTTATGTCAATACAATCAGAATGTTTTTTGAACCATTCAATTCGGATGCTTATTTCTCTCAAAAACTGCCATTTTGTGTACATTTAGCTCCGTATCTTTGAAATGGCTGAACCTGCCTTTGCCAAAAACTAATCACCACTTCTTCCAATCATTACTAATTTAATGTTTTTTAGATCATTCAAATCGGATGCTCCGTTCTCTCAAAAACTCGATTTCTGTTTTCTGCACTTTTTGCTCTGTATCTCCGTAACGGCTGGACCTGCGATTGCCAAAAACTAATGAGCACATCTCCCTATCAATAGGAATCAAATGTTTTTTGAACCATTCAAATCGGTTGATCCGTGCGCCCGAAAACGTGAACGAAAAAATGCGGCCACCAAAAACACACGCACACAAACAGACACATCCATTTTTTCTGAGGTATGCCAAAATGTTCAGAAACCTAAAAACCGTAGAAAAATGGAATAATTTTCATTCGTGATTTTCCGCCCATTACTATATTATATATAGGTTAGTTATAACTAACCTACGGAAAGTTAAAAATTTAACGTACATTAGATATATAAACCACTTTTTACATACGTGAAATTTATGGAAAAAATCACCCCTCATGAAGAGGTGCTGGGACCCGAATAGCAAAAATAGCTGAACCACTTCAATTTAACTATTTGGTTTCAAAACAACGCAACTTTGACCTAAAAATGATTCAATAATTGGAGGATTGTCAAATTCTGACCACTCCACTTCTTCATTGTCATTATTTCCAGGATCTCTGGAAATAATCGGTAAAACTCTACGTCTTCTAGGATGAAAAAAATCTTCATCCACATACACTACCAAAATCAGTAATATCAGAATCACTTCCAATTTATGATAAATTATTGGCGCAAACTTTACTATCGCTATCCGATGCCATTATTTCATTATTGCAAATAACAATGTAAAAAAACTATACAAATTGAACTATACAAATCTGACTAATAACTAAAATATTTGATAAAATATATATTGAACACCATTTTATTGTTGTAAATTTTGCATATTTATCTACAAAACAAATTGCGAGTAGCTTGAATGAAAGAAACTTGAAGATAAAACATATTGTTTCTTATCCTTATTCTTATTCTAAAAGTCTTTCAATACGTAAATCAATTGAATCTAGAAAAAAGTATAATATCAGCTATTCTTTCAATATCATATGCAAACCGATCAGATAAAAGTATTTTGACTCGCTTAGTTAGTCTATTCAAAGCGTAATAATACCTTGCCCGCCGATAAGCAACAGTCCTCGCAGAGCGTAATTTTACGGGGCCCGCCTATAGTGTGTTAAGATTATTCCCCAAAACTCCATCTCCAATAATAAATCCTGAGATAGAATTAATCATGGCCCAAAATTTCATATTTTTTATTTTATACTAAATTTTCGTACAAATTCACTTCAGTGCTCTTACAACATATAAATTGATTTTTAACTTCCCTAATGAGAAGTTTGTTTTCATTAAAAAATCCGACTTGCCAATTTTATGTTTTCTTCACGTTTCAAATGAGACCAAATTTGGAAAAAATATGTGTGTGTGTGAACAGATTTTTTGCCGTAAATCGACGTTTTCTCCAAAACGGCTGTACCAATTTCAAAAATTTAGAAGCCATTCGATGTATCTCGATGAGGACTAGCGTTTCCGAGTTTTGTGCGACGATCGGCCTGGCCGTTTCTTTGTAAATAGCAGAAAAGTGAAAAAAAATTCGTTCACGTTTTAGCCCGCAGTTCTGAATCGATTTTGAAAACTCAAAAACCGTTCGATAGATATTGGTTGGAAATCGTGCTGATTAGTTTTTGGTAAAGATCGGCCAAGCCGTTTTCTTGCAATAAATTTAAAAAAAAATTCAACGATTTTTATGTTTTTTTTTTTGACGGTAGATACCATTGTCTTCATCATACTAAAATATTACGGCTCTACGACAAGTCGTTTAATTGTATATATTTTCCAAAGTTTGCAAAAATTAGTATAGCTTTTTTGGCATTTGCCAAAATTAGACTTTTGATCGCCGTTTTCTCAAAAACCGATTTCAGAAATTTAAAAGCCATTTGATGTATCTCGATGAGGACTATCGTTTGTCAGTTTTGTGAGACGATCTGCCAAACCGTTTCTTTGTAATTTGAAAAAAAGTGTTAAACTTTTAGCCCAAATTTGAGCTCAAACTACCGAATCGATTTTAAAAAATCAAAAAGTTTTCGAAAGATATTAGTTGGGAATGATTCTGATTAGTTTTAGGTAAAAAATTACTGAGCTGTTTTTTGTAATTAACTGTTAAAAAAAAAATTAAGCCGATTTTTATGGAACGGTCTTATAGAAGATATATCACGGTCTTATAGAACTTACTAAAATATTACGCCCTTGCGACAAGTAATTTAATTTTAAAAAATTATCAAAGTTTGAGAAAATGAGTAGTTTTTTTGACGTTTGTTAAAATTAAAATTAGACGATTGATTTGGTATAATGATAGAGTACTTAGTCTTAATGAACATATTAAACCATTAAAGTCCTACGAAAACTGGTTCAATTATAAAAATAATTGATTTTTGAAAATTTGCTTTTAGAAAATACTCCGAGTTCGTGTTCGTTCGTTTTCAATTATGTGTAATAAATCCACTTGGAATACTTTTAATCACTCATAAATTAATTAATTTTTTATTAATTAAGTCGATTATTTACTCAAGGGAAAATACCAATACCAACTAGTTTGGTAATTTGTTGCCAGAAGAAAGCTATTGTTGCTGAAGGAGTAAATGGTAGAACTTCAATTCTCATTTGGATAATATCATTAAAATATCTTATTTATTGACAACATATTGAGTATTGTTTATACATACATCAGCATGAATTCGCAACTTTTTCCAAGGCAAAAATCCACTTACACCTATTATTATGGTATATTAACAACATGCATTTAATCTCAGTAGTTTTTTTTAATCAGATGTGTGCATTTTAATTGAAGATGGTTTTAATTAAATTAGTCTATTATATTTACATTTGAAATAATTCCAATAACTGTACAACGCAAATTCTATTCAACTATTTTTTCAATATCTCGGTTAAAATTACACACTGAAACTCATACATCCCCCTCTTGAAATCTGAGATTTATACAATAAATCATTTATTCATATATTCAACATTCACCCCGCTATCCAACCAATGCTGAATATTGTTTTCTTTTCCTCAAACTGAATGAGAATTTGATTTTATTTTCGTTTTCCAGTTTTGCATTCGGGCTTCGTTGAATTGCAAATACTGGAGCAAGGGAGCAGCAAGATAGAATTGGAAATATCGAACAAGCAGCAAAAATACAACTGTGATTTTTTGAATTGAAGAGAAACATTTGCGGCAAATTGTATATCTACTGGAAATGGGGAGAGGATGAAGTAACAGGTTAGTTTTTAATTATTAAAATTTATATATATATATATATATATATATAATAAAAGTAGACCTGGAGTTTCATTGCAAATTCCAATAGTAACTGGGAATTGTAATGCTTTAAATTCAAATGCTGTATCTGTCAGTATTATGGGCATTCGAAGAATGAGGACATCTTCATTTTTGAAAGACCTCATGAAAATCATTGTTTCCACTACACTTTTTATATTTTTTTTTTATATATATACTTTTTTTATTCTCAAGTCAAAGAGTTAACTATACATGAAAGCTGCATATAAAATTTTTAAAATATAGTCAACTCTCAAGGAATTTACAGCAAGCGGTTTTGTTTAAAAATAAATATTTACTACGTAGAACAACGCATAATATATCTTAACTTTATTATTTCAATAACAATAATTTCTACAGGCATATATTGCCGATATAATTGCTTTTCCAAATAACGTTATTTATATCACTAACTACAATTCGCACTTTTTCGCCGATAAACATTTACGTCGAACGTTTATTCTATCATCCATCAATTATAGTCATGTCTACTATATAGTTGATTCGCAAATTCTTATTATCCAACTACTTATTATTACAATAAGCAAACTTGTACCGGGTTATGATTTACATCTATATTAATGGGCAAAGCGCGTATATGCAGCTCAGGCCGATAAAACCGTATCGCTATGGGCATTTTGCATGCTGGATTACTCGAATAACAGAGCTGAATTTAATCGATGTGCGATGTTGCAGCAGCGAAATTTACTAATCATTTGCATAAATTCGAGGCACGAAATTATTCCACGGTTTTAACACATTTGGTTAAATTAATTCTATGCATTAGATACATTTTTAGTTATTGAAAAAATATACTAACGTAAACCACACAAAATGCTTCTTTCAATAAATAAATGATGAGTACCAATAAAATCTAAACATGTTGTTGTTGTTTTCAAATCTAATCTAGGTATTGTCATGTGCTAATGAAATTGATGCCTGGAAATACATAATTTTTTTTTTATGACTCTCTCCCTCGGAGTTACCGGATCTGTTCTCTTCCTCTCGATTTACTATCAGTGAAAATTGATTACGCACGTATTTATACAAAGTCGATTTATACAGGATATGCATTCGCCTTTCGCGTTCCGTCCGTCCATGATCAAAAATGCATAATATCCTCCGAGCACCGGAGATGGGCCTGTTATAAATTTAACAGGCAGAAGCATATTACTGCCTACTGATAAATGCCGTTGCAAAACACGTGGGCGACGTTGAGAATCTTGAATTTATACATACCGATACATATTGGATGAGAAACAGCAAGAATCGCTCATATTGTAAAGGACAAGTGTAAAAATAGCTATTTTTCATGATATTTTCCTTCATGAATCTACACCAACTTCTCCTCCAGCACAAATGAATATTCTTACTCATATCAATTAATAAGAGTGTTAATACACAAACATCTAAATAATCGTACCTTTCGTATGAGTAGCAGCAAATAATGCTCATATCTTAAATTATATTCTTTAAAAAATCTTAAAGTATCAATTATCATTCTATTGAGATCTTATATCAGAATACACAAAAGTATCAGCCGTCATGCTCTAGCAAAATAAACATGATTAAATAAATAATACTCTGAGAATACTTTGGGGTGCGTTACGCCAAATTTACCCATGACTAACAAAGTGTGGGAGCAACTGAGTAATACTGTATTCTAGATTATCTTCGACGGTAATCCTTTTAGCATTTATTGTGTACACGGGCTTAATAAGAATTTAGTTGGGTTCTACTCAAAACATGTGTTTTGGGGAAATTCTTTGTGATGCAGTAAGGTGCATTGCTATAAAAATATATTGAATAAGAAACTCACTTATCTAGAACTTTATAAAGAAATTGGCAAAAAAATCTACTACTACTACTACTACAATAGCCTAAACATAAAGTTATTGTGCAAAATAGAGTTTTTATATTATTATAGTATAAACATCACTCTAATAAATGATTTTCTAATTAAGTCAAGTTAGATCAATAGGCAAACATTTCTTGAGTCCTTTTATAGTTGATACATTGAGAACAACTGGCCGTAATAACACATCTGAATAATCTTCAATTTTAGATATTTGAGTACTGATTCTGTCTTTAATTGTGAAAAGTATTTTTATAAGTCATTATATATAATGAACTTAAAATCATTAATTGTGTTGGCTGCATTTTAACAATATTGGACTTACTTGTGCAGCCCCAAAGCTCAATGCTATAGGTCCAAACAGGATTTATAATTGATTTACCTATATATTAGAGCTTTGAAATTTTCTAATGAAAGTTTCGAGTTTTTTCGTATAATCCACTGCAATTCTTGTTATATATTGACTTGATATGTGGGTGCCAGGTTTATTTTCTGTTCAAATAAATAATCATTATTCAAATTCATTATTCAAATAAACAGATAAACATAAAGTTAATAATCCTTGAAATCATCACGTTTTTATGTAAAAATAATAGATCTATTCTTCCTAGAATTTATACCTTTTCCAATATATTTCTTATAATATTTTTTTCAGTGCCAAGTATATAACAAAATTTTAAAATAGCAAATTAAATTCTTTAGAGTATAACTTACATTCTGGTATTCCAGAATGATTCTTTTGATACCATTGAATAAATAACCGTTACTCTACGCATATTCTCCTTTCAGTAACCACATTTATTACTCTTAATTTGCTTCAGCTTTTTTCGTTTTATTTAGAAACTTTCATTCTCTTCTTTATAAAATCTATTATTTTTTTGAGATTCTGTAGAGTGCTTGACTGCTGCTGTATTCTCCATTATATTATTTTAGCTCCTAAATGCACAATAAAATTTTAAAATAAGCTATTGAATTCTTTCGAGTATAGCAACTATTTTGGTTGTTACTATATGATTCCTGCGAAACAATTCAATAATTAACCTTTCCCCTACGCATATCCGTATTTAAATAATCCACACTTAATACTTCACATTTTCTCTGGCGTTTATTTTTGTTTTTACTTAGAAATTTTCGTTCTCTTCGTGAAATCAGTAATTCTTTCGTGATCCCGTTGCGTGGGCGCTACACTCATTCGTATACATCGTTAGTACACATGCGATTCGGTCGGCAGTTGCCTGCTCGCCGAGATAAAAAATAAATACCTGGCCCGCGGGCGTCGAATGTGCATATGAAAAAAATTGGTCCAAATATTGTGGTACCGGTATATAGCATACACTGTTGACGTGCCAAAGGGGTCATGAGACGTTGAACTTTACTACGAGTATACGGAAAAATATAGATTGTAGTAGTACACAATTCAGATTTAAGATTGGCAGTAGTTTTGGATGTAAGTAGGCATGATTAGGCAAGGTAACTAGTACTGGTACGATTATTGCCTTGCAACAGAATATCCCGATTGCTCTGACTCATAGGTTTTCATTTAGTTTTGGTGACCTGCACTATCTCATGAAAGATAATATCTTTTAAATTATGTATCAATGTCATATCATTGATGAAAATACAAATGTTTCAAGAGAAAAAATTAGACTTCGAAAGTCTAGTCAAGTATATGGATATTTCCTATTGAAAATATAGATAAACATATGTTTTTAAATGAATATAGTCCCTTCCCGGCATTTGCTGCCTTATGATAATAATACAGAAAAAATATTAGAATTTTTTTTATATAAAATATATCAAACAGACAACCACAGGGCTGTCTTATCAAAGTTTATATATCTCCTAATTCCTTGTTTTTTCTTTAAAAAAAAAAACAAATAAAAATATTCATTCAAGACTTTTGAGTGACACTTAAGGACACTAGTATTGTTCCAATTTTTGCTATAGAAGGCAAAAAATCAGTTTAATTAAAAAACGAAACTAGTGGGGTGTATTGCATCGTGCCTTAAGGCAAATTGCTAGAACTTCCCGTACCGTAACAAAATGTTCGAGGAACACTGAATGTTTTCAAATAGATTCTTATAAATATTGTAACATTGTCGAATATTTATAAAAATTATATAAACTGAATTGCAAAGTTGAAATTATTTGTTTAAAGTATAATAGAACTTTAGTCAGAATTAAAAATAAAATCTGATCTATTTTCGATATACAAAAAAATTAAAAAAGAAATTAAAAAAAAATATTTTAAAACATATTTTTTTTCCAAGATCAATTATTTTGTTAAAACAAGCAGAATGTTCTTTGAATCATTCAAATCTGACGCTTACATCCCTCAAAAACTGCCATTTTTTAACATTTAACTCTATATTTTCGAAATGGCTGGGCCTACCTTTGCCAAAAACTGATAACCACTTCTCCCAAATCATTACTAATTGAATGTTTTTCAGATCATTCAAATCGGATACTCCGTTCTCTTAAAAACTCGTTTTCTATTTTCTGCACTCTTTGCTCTTTATCTCCGTAACTGCTGGACCTGCCTTTGCCAAAAACTAATCAGCACATCTCCTTATCAACAGGCATTGAATATTTTTTGACAATCGGCAAAATGTTCAGAAATCTTCAAAACGTCGAGAAATGTAAAAATTTTCAATTTCAATATTGGACTATTACAATAACTCACCCTACGGCAAGTTAATAAAAATATCCATTTCAGATTTAATGACACTAGTATACATAATCGAATTAATCTACAGAATCGATATTCAGCTATTTGATAAAATGTTAAACTATTGTCACAAATACAATTTTATCTTTCACTAGTTTTATCAAAATCGTCAAAAATTTGTTACATACACTTCTCCTTCGGGATATATAGTACTTATCAAACATCTTGCTTCCACTATTTCTTACCAAATCACCTAAAATCATATAAAACTTACCCTCAAACCTTTCAAACCTCATTGATAATCTTACAATTAGTAGCTCCATTCAACATCGCGCTTTCCTCAAGTTTTTCCTTCGCGTGGTCCTCGAAAAAGCTCTTGGATAGAGTTGCTGCCGTTCGCTCTTGGGGGGCTAACACTTG